GTCGCGACGGCGCAACAGATTTCTCAAGTTGGCAAATACCCATTGAGCCTTTTGTATGCGTGCCAACAATTCGTCCGTGACGCGTCCTCTAAGTGAGATGCAGCTGCCCAAATAGGAAAATCTGCCTGCTCCCTCTACTACTTCCCCAGCTAGTGACATTGAAGACTGTGTCAAACAGTCCCGCAATGACATTTTACACTGAAGATGCAAAACGCATACCGAACATGGCTACACTAGCACTCAAACTACCCAGAAAAGCTGGCAACATACCTGGATTTTCACTTAACAGCACAATGTCGTCTGCATACTCCAGATCAAACAGGCTTTCCTACGGTGCACAGTCGAAGATCACTGAGCGTTTTGAACACTGCAGGCGAGCGGCTCGTGCTAGCTGGACAAGCGTCAAACCCCTTGTTGTAGCTGGTCTATCCACCCGATTGATCGCGTTTGTTGGACGAGTATAGGAGCTATGCATCCGATTCTGTTTAACATTAGTAGAGAATCAGCACAGTGGAGTACGGATTGAGACTGCATTTAATCTAAAAGGTCTACTAGCAACTCAGTTGGCACTCTATCTGTCAATAAGGATACTGGGGAATTTTTATAAACGTTAATTCTTGGACGAACGAATCCAAAACTCAACCTAGTTGAAGGATTAAGACGACTGAGAGCTCAGTCGGAATAGAGAAAATGTGGACGATTAGCGAAGCGTTTGTGAGCAAGAATCAATATGGAGGTCACACATTTTCGTAACAAGATAGTTCCTTGGAATAAGTGAAATGCGATTGAAACGCTGTTAAGCCACGACGAAAAGCAACGCATCCTTTTTAATCAACCAAAGCAATTACCGTCTGCTCGTAACTCTGCTTTCACGTACATAACTAAAACTCCAGGACCACCCAAAGGTATGGCCATAGTGGCAAGCCTTATCACAACAGATTACCCAGTGTGGATAAATTTTGTTATCTGGGCAGCTACATCTCACCCAGTGGACACATCACGGATGAAGTGTAAGCTCGCATGCAGAAGGCTCGGTTGGTATTTGCCAACTTGAGACATCTGTGGCGCGGTCGCGATACCCGTTGTCTGAGAAGGGTCGAGTGTGTGCTGCAGCAATTCTGCCAGTTCTGCTATACGGTGCACAAACTTTTCCATTAAGAAAGCAGAGTAAGGATAGACTGTCGGTGTTTGAACACCGCCGTCTACGCAGCACTGCACGAATCTGGTGGGGCAGTGGGACGAGCAATGCTGAACTTCTCAATTTTCTCTTCGATCCTACATTCAGCCTTCCTATTTTTCCCCTATTTTTCACCCAAATGGTTAGCCAAAAGATAGCAACCAAAAGCGTCGCACAGAAATGCATGCCTAATGGTTGTTTAAGCTGAACTAAACGGAACGCAGTGCGGTTTAATGTAGAAACAACTGCTTGCATGGTTCGACTGCGAGCGATCTTTTAATATGATATTCGTTTTTCGGACTTGTGCCTTAGACCAGTCAAGTGATGGCAAAATGTCACCATAGCATAAACCTTTTCCGTTTTGAATTTTCCAGGTGCATCGCTTCAA